TTTTCTAAAAATCGTAACAACTAGCCCCGGTCTCCCCTACTTCGTGAGAATATATGACAACTAATATAGACTAGGAATTTAATGGAAGAAATTTTCAGACTAACATATGAAATTATTTCTGTGGCCATTAAAGCTTTATGAATAATATGTAATATCAAACTTTGTCGCAAAGAAGGTGTTTTTTGATTTATCTTAGTTACTAACGTCAGTAAACTGAATGGCAAGGTGGCTAAGGCGCTCGACTCGCAATCTGAGGGTCGCGGGTTAGAATCCACGTTACACCAAACATGATCGCCCTTTCAGCCGTGGGGGCGTTATAATGTGACGGTCAATCCCACTATTTGTTGATAAAAGAGTAGCCCAAGAGTTGGCGGTGGGTGGTGATGACTAGCGCCTTCCCTCTAGTCTTGCACTGCTAAATTAGGGACGGCTAGCGCACATAGCCCTCGTGTAGCTTTGCGCGAAATTCAAAACAAACAAACAGTAAACTGAAACGCCAGCATTAGCTTATCATTCTTTCTCTTCGACATGTCCCACCCCCAGTGGCATAGCGGCATGTCCGCGTGCTTAAAATGCTAGAAACCTGGTTTCGATACCCGTCGTGCGAATAGCGCAGATAGCCCATTGTGTAGCTTTGTTTTTAATAATAAACAACAACAACACTCTTCGTCACTGTAGTCGCATATTCTGAAGCTGCCAAGATGAACCAATGACTAATGATTCAGCTGCAAGAATAACATTATAAATATGATTACATTCAAACATCAACGTAATCCCTTCTCTAAAATAATTCTTATTAGTCGACAGCACCCATGTACTTCAACTATGATATTATATGTGTCAGAATTTCTCAAACATTATAAATATGATTACATTCAAACATCAACGTAATCCCTTCTCTAAAATAATTCTTATTCGTCGACAACACCCATGTACTTCAACTATGATATTATATGTGTCAAAATTTCTCTAACATTATAAAGATGATTACATTCAAACATCAATGTAATCCCTTCTAAAATAATTCTTATTCGTCGACAACACCCATGTACTTCAACTATGATATTATGTGTGTCAGAATTTCTCACAAAGCCTCACAAGATCGTTCTGCACATATAGCCATTCAAACTGATAAACTATACTGAAATGAACTGTACCAGCCCAAACTCCTGGTCTACTCTTGCATGATCAAATAGAGGGATTAGCCTTCAATTTTATAGAGCACCCAAGGCTCCAAAACGTGGTACCCTTTTTCACTTTCTGATGAGCATGGCCTGGACGTAGCGATTTGTTTGGTGTGCCCTGACTAAACCCAATAACCTGTTGCCGCAGAAACACGCTCCTACTTTTGGGGCGCATGTCCGCTATAAGAGTAATAGTCACATCCTACAGAAAAGAGATGGCAGTGAGTGCTACTGACTATTTGCCTTCCTTGTAGTTTTACCAGTTCGAAATTACGGATGACTATGCAGAGATATAGTCCTAGTGTAGCCTTACACGAAATTCTGAAACGAACAAACAAACTGATGGTTACTCTGGCAATCTTATTTGGGGACTTACCAAAGTCAATCAAAAATGATGTTTCCGCTTTACTGGTACACAAAAAATATAGTGCAAACTGCCCATTATTTTGATAGCTGTAATTCTCTTGTGAGTTTACGTAATCATCTTCTGATAATCACAAACTTCACGTAGTTTTATGGGAAGTTTGAGAACATATTTCAGTGTTGTTGTTTTTCTCCGCTGCAACTTCACTGTTGATTGATTAAAGCAAAATCGCTTACAAAGTTAATAAACAAACTGGATTATTTTGTATTTTAACATCTGTTATATTCTATTTGTCAATACTTTCTTTTGCCCACAGTTCTTATTTATTATTTGCTCTTGCGGGAACTTTAAGTTGCTCTTTAATTGTAAATTTTGTACGTTCATTTAGCTCATGCTATTAACGCTGAAAAAAAATGATGTTGATTTCAAATTGTCATGTTCTTGTATGCGAGTTTGACACCTAGAAATGGGTACAATATAACCTAAACTTTTAGGGCATTTCTGCCAGCATACAACATTAGAAGTCGTAAATATAGATATTCGATCTTTACACCTGAACAAAGTTTTTATTTGCAATCCACATTCAGATTTATGTTTACCTTTATGTGCTAATGACGAAACAGTTTTATGTCATCAAATCTTGTATATGAGTATAAATGTACTAATGTTGCATGAGATCCATTACTAGGTGGCTTCAAATTCGCATAGGTTATCATGTAAATTCGAAATCAACGTCATCTGCCAGCATTTTTAGAGCCATGTGTTACCGAGTGTAATGAACTTATAATGATTAGGTACTGCGCTTAAAAGAAAGTATATCGATCAATAGGCATTAGCAAAGGTTGGATGAGCAGAATAATACATTTCGTTTAGTTGAATAATTAATATCGTCTTCCAACTGTAACACTCTGTTATTGTTTTTTTTTATATAAAGCGCAGAATTAAATACTTCATTTCTGTACTTAATTATCATAAATTATTTAGGCATTCAAAAGTTTTGTTCGAAGAGTTCACGCTCGAATGATAAATTTGGGTTGTTGTTTTCTATTGGTCGATTCTGTGTACCTAGCAAGAAAACTCTTAGTGTAAGTGTTTAGATGTGAAATAGGAAGCGAATACGTAGTGTCATAGTTATGAAATTAAATGTTGCATCCAACTGAAACAGTAATGCTAAAGGATATCCGTTTCTCTTTAAATGTTTTTCTAAATCTTGATCTCCCACCTACTTACAGAACAATATGGTGATTCTAAGCATTGCATATGATGTGATACATGGAGTTACTGAACAGTTGACGATTCAAGATTCGCTTTACGGTATCGTAACGTTTTATAGCGTGGATTTTAAAACTGGTAATTGAACCACGATAGTTAACCATTGGTTTTATGGTCTTAGCCACTCGATTGTGCACCTGGAGATTGTAGTGTTAATATACGCTTCATTATACAGACCTACCAGACAGCACCAAGAAAATCGTCTTGTGCCATAAAACAAACTAAAACTAAACATTAACTTTTTATCACTTAATCATTGTAGAGGTCGCTACGCTCATTTAAACCCCTGTAAAACTGTGTTTTTTGTTTAGACATTTTAGCGTAATAACAAAGCAGGCTACATTGAATGGTTCCACGTTTTGTGTTTTAAATCTCTATAATTATTAATTTATAGCAGGAATAAATACTTAATTCCTCTACCTAATTATCATAAATTATTTCAGAAGACATTACTTTGTCAGGTATATACATTAAAGATGTTGATGTATTGAACTTTTATCACATATTACTCTTGAGATATAAGAGCTGTGAGACACGACATTTATCCCATAGAGCAAAAAAGGAAAAATATGGTTCTCAGCAATGGCATTTGTTATTAGCCATTAAAGTGCCATATTATCATTAAACTACTACAGCTGCTTACTTTATAGGCAGTGCTGTTTTGCACCCAAGTTAAATGAAAAACGTTAGTTTCAATCTCAGAGTCTCGAGCTGAAGCCAACTTGAAAATTCAATAACTTTTAAAGGAGGAGACACAAGTGCAGCACCTCTATTATTGTCATTATTATCATAATCATCATCTAACAGTATCTTGGATAATAGTTGAATAGTTTAATGTTTTACATTCTAATATTGGATGTTTTTAATGTAATAAATTTTAAAGGTGTTGGGAATTAGTTAAGTTAGGTCAGAAATTATACTTTCACTAATAGAAATAATTTAATTTTTGAAACTCGGAATACTAAAAGAATGTTACTACATTCTAGATGGAATCCTGAGGACATATGAAATGGGGATGTACAGCTCAACCCTTGACAAAAAACGTAATTTTTTTCTCAGCCTTGTCCATTTCTGTTTTGTAGAAATCAAGAGAAGATTAGAAAACCTAGACCTATTACCCTCTCAAGTTGATCTTGATGAAGATCAGGAGATCATTCCGGATAGTTCAACTGCATCAGTCTTGTCAAATAGCAGTCTTCAGTATGCTTCTCTCTTATCTTCTTCTGATAGCCAAGATCTAGCTGTGAATACTCTTTTGGCTGAAGTTGTTCCTTGTGAAGCTCTGGTTAGTAGTGGAAGTTACAATAATGACTTGGATTACATAAAATATTGACATAAGCGGAACAGAATAGATGCACTCAAAAAAAGATTTTTTACTTTTAGGCTAAAGAACATATTGATATGATTCGTTGTGTAAGTCAAGAAAGTAGCATGTTTTGTTATTATTATATATTTCATGTAAGTGTAAAGTTCAGTACCTGACGTTAAGTCTCAACTTGTGTTTGATTAGTTTATTTCATGTCACACTTATACTAATTACCTACGCCACCGAAGGTTATGTTTTCACCCCTGTGTGTGTTTGTATGTTTGTCAGCAAGATTTCTCGAAAACGGCTAAATTGATTTTGACAAAAGTTGGTATACGTTTGGGCTATGACCCAATTTAGAAATAATTAGTTTATGGTGGTGAAGTCACAACAAAATCACAAAAATCCAAAAAAAATCTCTATCTGTTAATATGGGACCGATTTTTCACACTCAGTCAGTAAGGATCGGATTTTGATGAAACTTGACGGACATATGTAGAATATTATTCTTCATTGTCCTGCCAAAAATGCTTCGTGTATGATGATACCGACGGACATCTTTTCATATTTTCTGAGGGCCAAACATGATCAACGCTGCGGGGCGGAGGTATGCGCTCTACTGAGAATCCCTCTGGTTTTAATGATTTCACGCCTAATATAAACTGTCATATGACTACAAATTTAATGACCAAATGCAACATCAAAGTGTAGCACAAGCCATAAATACGTGTGTGTGTGTTATTTTTTGTGTTCATGAGCTTATCTGATATTCAAATAAACTTCAGGTTCACGATTTCTCAGCGTTACCAAGTTCAACTAACTCGTACAGTGATGACCAAGTTGATGAACATAAACCTGAACTAGGTCTAGTAGGCCTTGGTAAACTGGAAGATCTACTAGAGAATCTCCCTGCATTTATTAGTGAGCCTTGCCCCCAGGGTCTGGTTATTCGATGTTGTATCACTCGTGACAAGAAAGGGATGGAGCGAGGCTTGTTTCCCACTTATTTTCTTCATTTAGAAAAAGACGATGGAAGGAAGGTAATAACAAACCTTAAAATATCCTATAAGATCCTCAAAGGAGGAAGTTTTTATAATTCATATTTTTGAAAGGCGACAATATTTATGTACAAAATTAGCATACATTACGTACTCTAAATACAATCAATTGTTTTCTCTGTAGAAACTGCTCAATATTATTGGATCTTCATAACATGTGTAGTTCTAACCAAATAATTTCTAAAACAAACAAATAATATTGATAAAGAGTATCTTTCCTTAGTGCATCTACGTAAGGCTTTTTAATTTTATAAATTCTAATTTAATGACTGTTCTAATTGTCTTTATCTTGGACACTGCTTTAAAGTGATGAGATCTTAGGTTTAAACGTTATAGAACATTTATTTCTTGCACTATAGTTGGAATATTAGCTTCATTAGTTACAAATATTTTTCTCTTTTCTGTTTAATTGAAAGTGTATCAAGATGTGCATAAAAAATTTTCAAACAGTAATATTTTGAGTCTGATAATCATGTTTATAATATTTCGCAGAAACTAAACATATTACCTTAAATTTCTTTAGTGTGTTGTAATTAGTTTATGCCATTTAAGTTGTTAATTTAATGTTTTCTCAAGCAGAGGAGTCTCTAGGTGCTTCAGAGATTTGGGCTCGGGTCCATAGGCGCGAGAATTTTCGACGTTTCAGTATGGTATCGATCATAGTTTTCTATTCTGATCTTTCAAGACATCAACTGGAGATTCAGGGAACTTTCAAGTATAATCTGGGGACGGGGCCCGTGTGCCAGCGCCTAGCGACGCTTCTGTTTTTGAATTACCTCACTACATCTAAAAGAACAGCAAAAGTTTAATTATGGAGCTGCCATCTGTTGGTTCTCTTTACAACAAATAGTTTTTAATAAACCAATACTTGATATGTATTTATTGTCTTTTTAACAGTCCTTTGTGGAAAAATATTTCTCAGCTTAATAATTAAATTTTTTATCTATTTTATGATGAGCAATCTGTTACTTCCATATTTGAATGCGAGAGTCAATTGCTTCTTAATTACAGAAAAACTATGGTGTGTGTGTGTGTGTTATGATTGGTTTTAATTTTTGTAAAATCTTCATACTGATTCATAACAAACAGTAGTAAAATTAGAGTCAGAAAAGGCTATTGTAAATAGTTAAATATTGTGTACAAGTATTTAATATTATTGTAATTGAATGATCATCTCTTTTGATGACAAAAATGAATTGTTGTAAATATTCTCTTTGTTGTAATATTTTTAACAGATTTTTTTGCTTGCTGCGCGAAAGAGGAAGAAAAGTAAAACTTCCAACTACGTGATATCTGTGGATCCAACCGACTTATCTCGAGGAGGAAATTCTTTTGTGGGAAAGCTGAGGTATTTCTTTCTTTAGTACATCTACTTAAGGCTTTTTCATTTTAGAAATTCTAATTTGATTACTATGCTAATGGTCTTTATCTTGGACACTTTTCTAAAGTGGTGAGATGTTAGATTTAAACGTTATAAAACCTTTATTTCTTGCATTATAGTGTACATATGAGCTTCGTTGGTTACAATTTTTTTCTTTTCTGTTTAACTGAAAGTTTATCAAGATGTGCATAAAATTTTTCAAACAGTAATATTTTGAGTCTGATAATCAAGTATGTAATAATTAGCAGAAATTAAACATATTACCTTATTTCTTCAGTGCGTTGTAATTAGTAAACATTAAACATAAGACCTAGTATCATAAACATGTCATGATTTGTAGACGTTAAATGACATAATAATACCATGGGTCTCATTAGTATTTTGTAACTAGGCAAAATTAACCTAAATAATGTTATTGTTGTAATGGTTCTTTTAGATTATAATATAGTCTAGTCCATGAAATGATAACAGATTAGTTTAGTTCTTCTTTGATATTTGATACCGGTTGCTGTCACTGGTACACAGTTGTAGGCCAAAGTTCACAAGTAAAGTTTACACTTACAACATAATGTACTCTTTAATGGTACTACGACTAATGTACAAATAGACTTACTTGTACAATTTCATGGTTAATTGATTAACATAAGTAACACTGATCTGAATACTTCACTACCTTCTCAATCACTGAACAAACTGAAAACTAACTCGGTGCTTCGCTAATTCTCATACTTAGAAGTATCATAATAATAATAAAATTTATAAAAACAAGTCGAGATACGTATAAACGTAACCTTCCTAGTTATAGCAATATAGAAAGTTTTAATGCTACAAAAAGTACTGAAACAAAGTCACAACTACAAAAACTGAGTTACTTAAAATTTATCTTTTATCCCTACTTTGTCAAATCACTTTAAGTACGTTAGTCTGAGCCAAAGTCGGGATATATATATATTTTTTAATTTTAAGTAACTCAGTTTTCGTAGTTTTGATTTTCTTCTTTCACTACTTTTTGTAGCATTAAAACTTTCTATATTACTATAGCTAGATAGGTTACAAATATACCGATCCCCATTTGTCTTTCCAAAATTTAATTATTTTATTATGCTTGTTTTGTTTCCTTCTTACTAGCTATAGTTTTGTGCGCCAGCAATACCAAGCATGAGGTTCACATTTTCCTATTACGATTTTATTTACACAATACAAACAAGGAATACTTGGGACCCAGACGGAAGAGTTCTGTGAAAGAATTAGAAAGATAAGATTCGTTTCTCTTTTTTGCACAATCGTCTGGAAAAGTCACATGCTTACTTACTTAGATATAAATTCATTAATATAGTGAAATTTTAACCTTCTCC